GGGATGAAGCTGCCTTTACTGAAAATTCTCTCTCCCTGCTTGCTCTGTGGCCAAAATCATTTTTAAAAAAAACAAAACATTAAGACAGAAGCAGGGAGGGAATCTTGAACGGTCCCCATGCCAATTTATCTGTGACTTTGCTTTGCAATTCCAGGGAAGAGAGCAATGCATAGGACAGGGAGGATGGGTAGAAGTCTGCTCACTCTCCAGAGCAAAAACAGGTAAACCTGTCTGAAAGAAATGCAAAGCCCTCTCTCTCCAGCCATTTCCACCTCAGCCTAAGCAACCTCGACTAAGAGACCTCTGAACCCTGCCAGCTGCTCGGCGATGTGCAGTCACACACCACACCAAAAGCTTTGGGCACTGACCCCAAAATGCCCTAAGATTCTAATTACCTCATGACACACTGGATCTTTAGTGGAAGCTTGCTCGGATGTCAGCACAGCCACAGAATTACCTAGGCACTGCGTTTCTCAGACAAGTTCCCTTGTTCAGTGGCAGGTGATTATGTGAGGATTTTGTCCCACCGGGAAAAAAGATAAACACTTGGCAGGGAAAAGGAAGTCAGGTACCTGAGGCCATCTCAGGTTAACAGAGGCAGCCTGATCACCAAAATTTGGGGCTCCCTTTCTATCATGTGAAGCTATTTTGGAGGAATTTCAGCCAATGACTACACTGTTCAGAAATCTCTGCGTATAAATCAGTTTTTGGTCACTGTAACAAAATACTTCAAGCCACTAATTTTAAAAGAGAAAAGGTTTAGTAAGCTCAGTTTGATAGGTACAAATCCAAGTCCAAGATTGAGTGGTCCCATAGGCTTGGGCCTCTGCCAAAGGCAGCTGATGAAATAGTACATATTGGAATAAGTGATCACATCCCAGGCCAAAGATGAAGAAAGACAAGCAGGGTTTATAATCCCTTTTGAGAGCACACCCCAGTGACCTAAGAACCTCCCAATAGGTGCAACCTCCTCAAAGTCCGCAGCACTTCCCAAGAGTATCACCTGGGGACCAGGCCTTTAATACATTGACCTTTGGGGACACTGCCCACTTTCAAACCACAGTACTCTGTCCCTAAGCCCACATGACCAGCTCCCACAATAGAAGGGTAGAAGTGGTTCAGAGTAGACGCAATTTGCAAGTCAAAACAAGGTCTCTCTGCTCTCTTTCCTTTTCCCTAGCCTGGAATTACGATGGCAAAGCAGTAAGATCAGAGCAGCATGTGTCCCTAAATCACTGCATTGACTATAGCTCTCTGCCTTCTGAGTCAGAAGTTGGCAGTGGGGATTTCTCTGTTACAGCAGCGAGCATTAACCTATACAGCCTTCTCTCCATCAATGTCAGGCCACTGAGACTCTGCTTTGCATCAAGGACTTTAGGATCCAAGGGGCCAGCACAGCTGAGGCCAGAGAGAAAAGCCACCAGCCGAATCTGAGTACAGATCTTGCTCTAACTGCAGCCAGCAATGATTCAGCCCAATCTTTCAATTCGGCTTTCTCCAGGACATAGGAGAGGTAAAGCACAAGAGGCACAGTGGAAGGAAGTTGAAGGAAGATGAATTTGGGGAGGCTGAGCCTTCTGTTAGGTCATGGTCTGTGTTTGTGTCTTCCAGAGCCGTCACCACGAAGGCCTTCAGAGCAGCAGCTCCAACTGCAACCAGCTGCGGAGACTGGTGTGAGTGTTGGCACACAGCCAAGGATGCAGGAGCGGGGCTTCAGTTAAACCCACCTCTTTCACACTGAGCCTGACATTCTGGCTCTGAGCCCAGTTCGCCCAGAGGAGAGGCCTAGAGCTGCAGTCCCCGGGGGTCTTCTAACTTGCACTATCTGTACTGTACTTAGCACTGTATTGACTGTGCAGTAAGGCTGTGGACTGCTGGTGGGCAGTGTCCCCAAAGGTCAATGTATTAAAGGCCTGGTCCCCAGGTGATACTCTTGGGAAGTGCTGCACACTTTGAGGAGGTTGCACCTATTGGGAGGATCTGCTGCGGAAGGCCACAGTAGGGCAGGACAGTGCTTCAGAGATTCAGAAGAGGGTGATATTCCCCAGGGAAGGCAGGTAAGGAAGGCTCCACAGGATTCAAGCAATACCTTATGCAGAGATCCTTGTAAGGAGATATCAATATTTCTTACAAAATTAATCACTGAGCAAGTATCTTCATTCATAAAAGACAGGAATTTTCCCCTAGGAAATTGGCATAACTTTTTCTGGTAGGTGATTTGGGTCTGCCTATTTTAAATATTCAAGCCTTTGGACCTAGCAAGTCTACTTCTAGAAAATGAATCAACAGCCGTACTCCCACTCCGGGAAATGTATAAAGAAATCTGTACAAAGATGTTTATTGTTGATAAGACACACGTTTTTGAGGTGCTTTGCCTACGAAACTTTGTCAACCATTGCATTTTATGAGAAACATCGTGCATCTGTGAAGTGACTCAGTTAAGAGTGAAGACGTCATCATCTGACATTGTAAAGGGGCCAAGACCTGAGATTTTATTTCTAGCTGAGCTACACCATGACGCATGAGTCCTGTGCAGACAGGGACCCTACCTGAGTCACTGCTCATTTTCAGGGCTGTCACAAACCCCAGTATGCAGTGTGTGTCTGGTCCTATTTGCTAAATGAATTCATGATTGATCTGGACATGGATCACATCTAGGCTCTTGTCCTCACCAGCCCGATGTTCTAAAGGAAGATTAGTAAAGAAGTACTTTGGCCTGAAGCAATATCTAGCAGGGCAAGTGAAAAGGCCCCAGAGAAGGAAAAAATGTGTGGGAAATTTAGATTCTCAAGATGAAATAGATTCAAAATTTTAGCTCGTGGTTCATACCTCGACCCTCCTGATATTACAGGTAGCCCTTTTCTGGGGAAGTTATGTATACCTTTCATGAACTTCTCAAACAAAAGTCAGGTTCATGACACTCAAAAAAAAAAAATGACTAAGCAACACTGACCTAAGGGATTTTTTTTACTCTCAGAAATGGAACACGTTCAAACAACCTCTGCCAAGGAGTAACAGACCCACGTGACTTGGAAGCAGTAAGAAAAGGCCAGTGTCACAACAGACGTACCAATGATGCTATAAAAACAAATTGTCACAAGGATGTTCCAGTTTTCCTTTTGCAAACTATTAATATGGTATTTCAAAGCATTACAATTTAAAGGAATGTTCATTCTAAAACACCCACCCAGCTCATAATGATACAATACTGTATGCCTTGATTAAGAATGGAAAGACAACTTCTGACGTTTAAAAAAGTGAGAAGGAAATAAATCTCTGAAACAAACTGAAAGTTTAGAATTTAAATTTCCTATTAAAAAAATGTAGTCTCATCCAGGTAAATGTACCTGGATCACAAAGCTGTTGATCAAATACTGCCAGGCCAGGCAAGCAGTCAAAGCAATTGATTTGTTGTGACAGCTTTTCATTAAACTTAGTAGATGAGAGGGGAGCACTATTAATCCATTTCCCAAATCCTCTTCCAGCACAACCACTATTGTTTTACCCAAAGAGCAATCAATTTAACTTCAAATCATTTGCTTTCTAAAAGCTCTGCTACGTGGCTAATTGTATCACTTTTTAAAGGTGTAGTTGGTGTCCCTCCCCGATAGTTTATCACGAACCAAATTACACTAGAAAGAAATTTTCCACGGCGTGTATTAGCACATGCCAGCATTAAGTTTTATCGTGTTCTCAATGGCTTTCTGCTGCGAAGGAGTTGATAAAAGGGCATTTCCAGGGACAGAGCTTCCCAGCGTCCTCCAGCCCTCACCTCCCCACCATCCTATTCTCTGCCATCCTTACCACTGATATGCAAATTAATAAATAGCTACATTTGAGGCCCCCTCGTGCTCTGCACAGGGAGGTGATGGGATCACCAACACCTTTATTAGCACTTATCTGCCTGCCTCATCATGCTAAGTGCTATAAAAAGCAAATTAATCAGAGGCAGTGCACGCTCTCTAGATGCCTACCAATCAAGCAGAAAAAAAAAAAAATCCCCATACTTACACTCAAAAAGACATCTGGGTGTGGAGTGGCAGAAAGAACTACCCTGGAGAATAAGCAGCTCAGCTGAAAAGCTGCAATTTAATTTTATTCTAGGTAGGTAGGTGACAAAAGAGAGTTGCTACAGAATATATGCACGCATACATATACGTGGTGTATAGACACGTGGTGTTTGTACTTTATCACACACTAAAGCTGATTTAAGATTAAGCATAACTGCCCGGGCCTCATTAAGAAAGCCCAGGCCGGTTGAGATAATTACTGGAATGTAAAGCAGAAGACTGAGGCTCCAGAGGCTCAGCTTCCAAGTTCTTGTCCCCTGTTTTCCTGCCTCTAGGGCGGTGATCGCCAAAATGGCGGTGATCGCGAAAATGGCGGCATTGGCTATCTTCTGACGATCGCAACCTTTCCTCCCTGATGGCCTCAGCCAGTAGGAGGCTGAGGGGCTGGGAGGGAGCTGCAGCAGCTGCAAGAATGGGGCAGGGGTCACCAGAGCTCCCATGGGAACTGACCCAGTGAGCTGTGCCCAGCGCAGAGCCCAGGTGCCAGCCCAGCTATAAAAGCTTGGAAGGAAGAGCCGGACACCAGGGCTGTGGGAGCCGCGAAGGGCAGATGAACGCCTCACACAACCCTGGGCGTGCCATGCTCTCACAATCACCAGAGCTCTGTACAGTCGTCTTGACAATTTTCTGGAAGATATCAGCAAAACGGTTTGAGGAAGGGTGGGTGACAGGCCCTCAGTTTCAAGAGTGGGATGAACAAAGCCAAGCCCAAAAGCAAAGCCAGAGGCTATTCCCTAGGGCTGTAGGAGCCCAGGCTGAGGGCAGACACTTCCCAAGCTACTACTGCCACCATCCTGCAGCTGCTGCCCACATCTCTCCCCCACCAACCTTCACCTCTTGCCAGGTCCTGGGGTCACCCAGGGACTCGCTGGTGCTGCCACGCCCGGTGTCCTACCCTTCGCCCAACCAGACACACTCACCTCTCCTGTTGAGGGTCCATCTTTCTCCCATTGCCTGAGTCTGGGTACTGCGCTTAGAGGAAAGGACCGAGTCTCAGCGTGGTCATCTGTAAATCAAAGGTCACGATGCCCATTCTGCAGGCTGCGGTGAGAACTGAGAGGTGCTGTCTGTGGGGCCCCAGCTTAGAGGCCAGTGGAGGCCACCCAACTCCCTGCCCACCCACTGCAACCAGAGTTGCTTCAGGAATCTTGCTATGGGAAAGTGAGATCTGTCTCCAAGTATGGATATGGATATGGATGTGCTGTTCTGGACCACACATCTTTGCAAACAAAACAACAGGGACGGCAGGGTTGGAGAACCGCATTAGTCTGTTCAAGATGCTGTAACAGAGCACGGCAGACTGAGTATTTTCTGTTCGGAAGACTAGGAAACCCAAGGTGTAGGTGCCAGCAAAGTAAGTTTCACTCTGAGGCCTCATCTCTTGTAGGCATCGGCCTCCTCTCTGAAGCGTTCACGGCCCTTTCTCGTTGCCTGCGCTTGAGAAACAAAGCAAACCCTCTGCCATCTGTACACGTAAAGCCACTAATCTCATCAGACCAGGGTCTCACCCACATGACCTTATCTAACCCCAGTTACTTCCCCTAGCCTCCAACTCCAAATGCCATTACAGTGGGGGTCAGGGCTTCAGCACATACATTTGGAGGCCGGGAGTGAGGAGCATAAACATTTGCCCCATAATATAACAATACTTGGCACTGCTCTGACTCATTACTGCAGAGTTCCACGCTCCCTCCTGTGTCTCCACATCTGTCTTGAGGAATCACCGATTTATACAAGGGGTAATCAAAAAATTCAACGAACACTTGAATTTTCTTAACTGAAATTTAAATATGTAAAAGGCATATTTCCATGAATCCCCCTTGAAATATTCTCCCTTGCTCAGCTTATCCTGGCACGCTCACCTCTTCCTCCAAGTCCTCTTTCGCCAGTGTCTTCAGTTGCACTCTCGTGGCTGCCTTGATGCCTGTTAATCGATTCAAAACATTTACTTTTCACAGTCATTTTGATTTGGGGGAAGAGCCAGAAATGACACCGTGCCAGATCCGGTGAATAAGGTGGATGAGGATACACTGTAATGTCTTCATTTGGCAGAAATTGTCATAAATAGTTGATCAATGAAAGGTGATCAAAAATAGTGAATATTAAAATTCACTTTGTAAATAGGGAAGGGTAACGGGGGTGAAGGGAGGGCAGGGGAATGGGGAAAAAATGAGAAGCAAGACCTATTGTGTAAAGGTATGAGATCCCAATGATAAATGTAACTGTATTATTTGTTTTAAATGGACCCATAAACTTAATGGGAAAAAAAATTTAAAGATGTATTACAGTAAGAGACACATTGCCAGTAAGTCCCTTCAAAATATTCCCCTTTGTAGCCAACACATTTAGCCCGTCGTTCTTGGCAATGTGTCTTTTACTTCAATAACTTCTATTTAAGCCGGGCCTGGTGGTGCATGCCTGTAATCCCAGCACTCAGGAGGCTGAGGCAGGAGGATCGCTGTGAGTTCAAGACCAGCCTGGGCTACATAGTGAGTTCCAGGTCAGTCTCAACTACATAGTGAGACCCTGTCTCAAAAAACAAAAAAAAATTAAAAAAATAAAAAACTTCTATTTAAACATTCACCATATCTTCCCATCTCCCCCTGTGTCTCTAGGCACTCACCGTGGAGTAGGGTCCTGGACACCATCCCTCCTGCTCCAGTACTGACATCTCTGAGGCTCAAAAGTGTGGCTAAAGCACCAAGTCTTCACGGAGACCCTGGAGGAAAAAGTCTCCCACCCTGGCCAAGGCTGCTGCCCCCTCTTACTGCTTCCTCTGAAACTGCCAAGCAGCCCTGAGAACCTGCTCCTGGTGCAGAGCTACCGATGTGAACAGCCAGCGACCTCAGAGTCCTGAGCCAGAGCGGCAGCACCTTCCACTGTGGGCTGGGTGTCTCTAAGGCCAGGCCGGTGGTCCTCCTCCTCTTCGGAACGCAGGGCCATTCCACGGGGCTTCTGCTCACCGCACAGGGCACGGCCCTCGGCTCTCAACAGATACCGGGTGACTGGTGATGCCATGGGCTTGAGGGAGCCCTGGAAAACAGATGCTGTTTGTTTTGAAAAGGGCCCCCTGTCTCGTATCTCAGGCTCTGAGGCATTATTTTTCAATAAAAGGAAAATAAGTTGGCTCCTGGACCTAAAGCTTCTCAGCCACCATGCTACCAGTAGGTCCCTGGAGGGCCAAAAGAGGTCTCTGGAAGGCTCTGGAGTGGCTGGGTTGTGACTAACGGGCAAGAGCCACAGGGATGGGCCACTGTTTCACAGCAGCTCCCAGTGTAGCTCAGTGCGCGGTGTAATTGTTACCACGCTCTGTGTGCTGTGAAGATGTGCACCCTGGGCGTGCACTTCCTCCCGCCAAAAATAATGTGCACCATACCTGCTCTTTCCTGTTGCCCTGAAGCCCTTGGCAGCGTGAGCTGCGTCCTGACACTCCCTGACCAGAGCAAGCCACTGTGGCCTCATGGGGCCTTGCTAAATCATCGATCCCGGTGCCCCCATCTGCTGCAGAGGACACCCAGAGACTGATCCCAAGGCAGCAGCCTGCCAGGGGGATTTCAGTCTAGAACTCAGCGAGACCCGGAGCCACGAAACCAGGCCTGACCTCACCGCAGGCCTGAGCATGCAGACCCAGGAGGCCAAGAAGTCCCCACGAGGAGAAAAGCAAACGCTTTTCTGAAGACAGTGGTATCAGCTGATTCCTCTTAGGGACTCATTAATAAAATATCATAACATCTCATTAGAGGAGCACATGTAGAGCAATCACTGCTTCCAAAGGTCACAATTCCTGTAACTGTCCGGGAACAGCCTTAGCTCTGCAGAGCAGCTCCTATGCAAGATGCAGTCTGTCTGTGCCGGACGAAGTGAGTCAGCCCACAGCAGGGGAGGCCAGGACAGCCACGGAGGACTCCCAACTGCGCCGCAGCAGCCAACCCGGGCTTTTCAGCAAGATGAGCTTTCAACCCAAATGACAGCTCCCTTCTCTGTGGCTCTAAAGAGGATCTCCAAGGCTTCCAAATCATGACGGAAACAGCATTGCCTCGGAAGCCATTTCTCCGTACAATGCAGGATACAGCCCACCCAGTGCCTCCCCAGACTGTTTCACAAACTGCAAAACTCTGCACAGGCTGCTGACCCCCACCTGCCAGTCTCTCACGCCGGCAGGGTTCCCAGTACCGATCTGACTACCTCCTCTACTGCAGGCGTCCACGCACCCCTCTCCAATGCTCATGGGGCGTGAACTGCACGCCGAACCCTGTGTCCAGTGGCAGGGGATTAAGCATGAATGTGGAGGCCCTCGTCTTCCCAGGTCAGACTCACGAGCCCACTTTTTCACCATCTCCCTTTCCCTCGACAGGATGCAAGGCAACTGGAACACCAGCAGGTCAGTCCCGGCATGCTCAGGGACTCCTGCCTGCTCCTAGCCTGCTGCCTCCCTCGGTTGCTCTCCCTGAAGCTGTGGTCAGGAGCAAGTCACGAGTGCACGAGCTAGGCAGCCTCAGTGTGCGCAGAGCACAGAGCAGTGCCTGGAAAACTGGCCCTGCTTACTTCCCAGGCCACCCCCCAGTGCCCTGCAGAGGAGCTAAGTCCACGCTCCAGGGCCAGCCTCTCTAGCTTCCCTCACTGCTGTGCCACTTCCTAGTGTTCGCCCCAGCTCGGCCTGTCTTCCAGCGCCACCCTTCCTAGGCACCATGTTCCTGGGCTTCCACCCTTCCGGCTTCGTGCCCTGCATCCCTGCCCCACTCCCTCCTGTCCACCTGACTCATTCCAGTGCTGTCCCCCGCAGCCCCGGGTGGCCCATAGCTGAGCGGTAGACAATCCCGACTGCCGGCATCTCCTCAGACTTCCTGCTGCCTTCACTACCCATCCACCTGAGCCTCCATTCTGGCCACTGCCAAGCCCTTGCGTGGAGGGAACAGTCATGAGGCTTTGCTGAGTAGAAGCAACTGCCACCCCTGCCTTGGCAACAGCAGTGTCTCTGGAGACCGTCTTGCCTCAGCCCTGCCTCTCCCGCCGCAGCGCCCCGCAGCCCAAGAGGTCATGGGACCGCTGTGTCTGCCCTGACATTTCTCAGCTTCCTGAGGCCACATGGCCCAGGGGCTCTTCTTAAGGACTCAGACCCTGACGTGCCTTTCAGACCTGACTCTCCCGTTACTGGCTGGGGGACTTTGTGCCTTGGTTTCTCTTCTGGAAAACAGCGATAATAATAGGTCCTGTTTCTTAGAGTGCTTTAAGGACCGACTGTGGTTGGCATGGGCTTAGAACAATATCTGCTGCCAAGTAAGTGCTCTGCAAGTACTAGTAAATGTCCGGTGTCAGCCACTCAGCACCCAAAATTTTAAAACGGACTAAAAAATAGTCTATTATCTGCTCCACTGACCTCACCCCTCAAGCCCCCAAGTTAGCATGGCACGAGAGACACACGGAGTGGACCCTGCTCCGGCCTCCCTCCAGCCCTCCTGCTCCGTGCCCATCACCCTCAGCTGCGGTTGAGACCGAAAGTGTCCCCCAAACCTCTTATGTCCAGAGGTGGACATCTTTTGGAAGGTGACTAGATCATGGAGGTGACAAGCTATCCATGCATGAGTCATCTGATGAGTTCACAGCTCTCTGTGCTGCTTAGAAGTGGGGCCTGGTCAGAAGAGGGGCACTGAAAATGTAACCTGGGAAGGGTATGGGCTCATTCTGGCTCCGCCCACCTCACGCTGTCTCCTGGCTGCCATGATGTGAGCAACTTTCCTCTGCCCAGCCCTCCCACAATGCCATTCCCACCATGGAGCCAGCTAACACTGGACTGAACACACTGAAACCATGAGCCAAAACAAACCTCCTCCCCTTTAAGTTTCAGGGTGTTGAATATTTTATCACAGCAATGGGACAGTGACTATTACACCTGCGCGCGCACACACACACCAACACACACACACACACACACACACACACACACACACTGGGTTAAGTGGCCTCTCTCTTGCTCCCACAGCCCCCTGTTCACCTCCCTCTAGGCACTTCCCTGCTGTGTTCTACCGGCCTGATTTCCACAGCCGAAGAAACCCACTATCGCCTCTGCATGTCACACAGTGCCAACTGCCTAGTACAGTAGTTGCTCTATAAATATTGGATAAAAAAGCAGATGTCCAAGTTGTACTCTGAGTGAGTCATCAGCCCTATCTCCAGCTCCCCCAGTTGTTGTGCAAACAAGCACTGCTACCACCCAGACATCACTCCCAGCACTAGGACACAGCTTCTTTTCCAAACATGTTCAGATCCCAAATGGACAGCAAGGGCTGAGGAAGGACGTGTGAGGCAGAGTCAGCTCAGCAGAAGGCAGCAAGGATGAGCTTCCCCTCCGATGTGGTCTGTGCCAAGGGCACAGGAACTGATAGCCAGGCAGACTCATAGAACCAGCCTTACTGATGGCTGGCTAGTGAAGAAATCCTTTCTTTCCTGGCCTGCTTCCTCACCTAGAAAATGAAGGATTAAACCTTTATGCGCTCTAAGGATTCTTCCTACTCTAAAGGTGTTAGGTCCATGAATCCAGCCACGTCATTCCTCCATGGCAAACATCTTCAGTGGCTCCCCATCACCTTTAGAATCAAGAACCAACACTCTGCCAGCTAGCCAGGATGTGTGCTCTCACTTTGGCCAACTTCCCATCAGCTGAATCCCTTCACTTTGTGCCAGTTTGACAGATCTACTCCCTGCTCCTCCCTCAGAGGTTGTGGTCCCACCCACAGTGCCTCTCCTCTCTGCAGCTCTGCCATCCTCTCCCTCTACAGAGTCCAGCTCAAGTCCTGACTCTCCTGCATCTGTCCCAAGCCATTCCACCCATAGTGGCCTCGGCCCCCCTGGTTGGTCTGCATCTGTGACACATACGCTTTATTTGTTGTCTCAGATTCTGCCCTGTTAGATTCTACATATTAGTATTTTCTTCTCCCAAGGAACCTGAGCTTTTCGCTAAGAGGTCTCATCTTTCTTGCCTCCCTGTCACCGCACTTCACACTGTTAGTGAAAAGATTCCACTGAGCAAACACAGCTTGGACAAATCAGTAACTTTCTGAGTGCAACACCATTTTCCAAGAGTTCCTTGGTGTTCAGAGGACAGCACTGGATGTCATGCTATTTAGGGAGCTCTGACCTACCAGACACGAAGACAGTTTCCACAACCCAGAATGCCTGTTTGCTGATAGCCTCTGCAGGTGGCCTAGGCAGGACCCACCCTTGTGGCTCTGGGCTTCCTGCAGCTAAGAGCTCTGCATGTTATTCTAAACACTCTTCCCCTACAGTTGCCTCACTCAACCCACAAATCCTTAGCCTCAACACCGATGCTTTGAAAATAATCAAGGTTGGGCTGGGGATTTAGCTCAGTGGTTCCACCACCTACTTCACAAGCACAAGGTCCTGAGTTTGATCCCCAGTACCAAAAATTTTTAAAAATTAAAGAAAAAAAGAAAGAAAGAAAAGAAACTAAGTAGTTGCCATTTCATGGCTTTGTATTAGCATGTGTGCAGTTTGTACAATATAAAGAAAAGAAAAGAAAAGAAAAGAAAAGAAAAGAAAAGAATCAAGTCTGGCTGCCCAATCCCAGAATTGTGGGCACACATGCCCAATCCACTACCCACCTAGAAAAGAGCTACACAGGTGTGCAACCTTCATCCAGAGTTGCACCATACCATCGGTAAGTATACACACATCCTAGAAAGCAGCTGTGTGGACTAGAGTGGTGTGGCTGGCAATGGATCCCAGCCAGGACCCCACTCCAACCCCAGAGGTGTGGGCACTCATGCCCAAGACACAGCCCACCTAGAAAAGAGCTGCACAAGTGTGCAAGCTTCATCCAGAGTCCCACCATACCACTAGCCACAGTCAAGGACCCACCTGGCAAAGAACTACACAGTTGCACAAGTAACAGCCAGAGGCTGGCCCTGATACCATTGATAAGTGCCTGGGGATCC